GACCAAACTCGGACTGCTGGACATTAAATCTGTCCAGAAATTTTCGGTACTGTTTACGCGGGGCACTGTTCATGCGCATGAGGTCACTGTTCACTGTTCACCCGCGCGGTTACTGTTCACGCGCGGGTACTGTTCACTACTGCAGAAAATACAACAGCTTTTAAGAAATTTGCAGCACATCAATTTTTCACTAAAATGGCTCTAACTCCATCATACGAATTCAGAATTAGACGATTCTTGTTCCTATGAGTCACAAATAATAATACGAACACAACCCTTCAATCGAAACTCAATTCGGAGCTCGTTTGCCCAGTTCAATACCCATTTCGCTCGTTAAACAATTAACTCACATTTCACGTCAAAAACCCAATCGCGACTTGATGAAATTAAACCAAAATTTCCAGATCAGTCCTATAATTCATGATTTAAATTCTGGAAGTCTCGAAATCAAATTTGGATCTCTAGAACTAAAAATGAACCTTTAGATCATTACATTTATGCTCAAAACGGCAAAAATCTTCCAAAAATGACCCGTTGGGCATCCGAAACACACCCGAGGCCCCCGGGACCCCGACCATTAATACCAACCAGACCCAAAATACATTACGGACTTGCTCGAGGCCTCAAATCACATCAAACAACGCTAAAATCATGAATCAACCTCCAATCCAAGTTTTATGAACTTTAGAATTTCCAACTTCTATTTCCGATGCCGAAACCTATCAAATCACTTCTGATTGACTTCAAATTTTGCACACAAGTCCAAAATGACATAACGAAGCTACAAAAATTCTCGGAATTCCATTCCGACCATCGGATCAAAATTTCACCTTTCAACTGGAAATCGCCAAAACACTAATTTCTTCACCGGACCTCCAAAATTAATTCCGATTGCGCTCCTAGGCCTTAAATCATCCCCCAAAACTAACCAAATCATCGGAATTCAATTCCGAGCCTCCTAACTCACAAGTTAATGTCTGGTTGACTTTTCCAAACTAATTCTTCCTTAAAGAGACTAATTGTCCCATTTCATACCAAACTCGATCCGAATTGACTCAAATTCACCAAGTACACATATTGAAACATGAATAAGCATTTAACGAGGAATACGGGACAAAAATACAGGAAATGACGGTTCGGGTCGTTACATTCTCCCCAACTAAAACAAACGTTCGTACTCGAACGTGCCCAGAGTTGTCCCAATAGCCAAACAATCGCTTAGTAACCTCACCACGCATATACCCGGGGGTGATCCCACATCACCCTATCTCATATAGATCCGACAATACATTGTAACATAAATTTTGCAATCCAATCTAGCCCATAAGCCATAGGACCACGTTTCCACTTTTGAAATCTTTCATATGATTAGAATCCCACATTTATACTGTGAATAAGCCCGAACAAGTTGTAATAATCCACACCTGCAACCTCAGGTGCTATTACATGATAGACCACATAACTCAAATGCTTGTAGTGATAACTCCTAATCACAACAGCTGCACACAGCACCCGAATGCCGATAGAAAAACTCTTATCAACTAAAGTCTCATATCACACTTTCATATGTTGCCAATGATGACTAAATCACGCGGTAAGCCATAACCATTTCCCATATCAACCAAGCGCAATTTGATGTCTAGTACCACAAGAGAATCATCATGCCCATGGAGAAGTACATAATACAATTCCATACCAGTAAACCTCACTATTGCACCATCCGGTTACCCCAGAAAGGGAAAATACCTCAAAGAAGAGAGCTGCTTTGCAAGTTCCACAAGTACCACCCCAACGATATGCTATGAGCTTGTCAATCACAGTGGAACCAAGATATATGAATAGAATAATAATAACCTGCTCTTCTACAACTCACATTGACATTAACTTCACGAGCAACTTAATTGCCAATAACATAATCTACCTGGCACGGTCACAAACCTCCAATCCAAGCATATCATATAGAAGTAATCCAGCAGGTAAACATGTATATGCTAAGTGAAACAAGATTCTCATGCTCCTGGACTGGCATAAATAACACTCTATATCGTAGTCATGAGCAAACTATGCTGTCATACCTCAAATCAGCAAGTTAGCACAGAATTAGTAATTACCAAGTTTGTTCTAGAATTTAGCATCTTGGAAATCTCAAGTATAGTCCAGATAGTTCTTAACAGAGTTACGAATACGAGAAACATTATACCTTTAAGCTCAATATCCCACTCTAGGCATATCATAGCCTACGTATCTTTCGAGCACGAATATTGGCTCGGTGCTTGCACACATGTTCAAACCTCACATATATCTGCGCTCACAACGTATAGTTATCACCATCAATTAGCTTGACTACTGCATCCAATGAGTTAGATAAAATACTCTCCTCAACATGCCACAATCCCGAAATAGTATATTTTTGAGAATTCCCCGTCTCCAAATTCATAGATCACATAAATCACTGTAACTGATCACAACCTCAGCACCCAAATGACTGACACGTCCCTCAAGTACGATCATCCCAAGATAATTATTTTCAAAAATTTTCTAAATACATAACAAGATCGAAATATTGGTAGTCGATCAACCAACTGAGCGTTGAAACGCTAATAGATATCTGTTAATCAGAATGTAATGTGCATCCTTCTCAGGCCTTACCAAGCAGTTATAACATTCAATCTAAATATCTGAAACTGACTATTCTATCCAGAATTCATGTCCTTTTCTTCAAGAATGAACTGCCACCTCGTACATGAAAATATTAAACATGCATAACATACAACGTCTATTATGCCATCATTTTGCAAATGCAAGAATATCATTAGAATTTCGGGGCTATAGGAAAATTACATTCCGGCAGTTAGAAATCTTCTATTTTCTCCCATTTAAGAGGGGTTCATAATATACAATATGGTCCGCGCACCGGTAAGATATCCGGCTCGAACCATGATAAAAACCATCAAGAAACTTTCAAATCTGTTCGCACATAACCAAGCTATCAATACGAGGCAAAGGGTACTTGTTCTTCACTGTTACTTTATTCAATTGGCTGTAATCAATGCACATTCTCATTGTGCCATCGTCCTTCTTCACAAATAAGACTGGTGCACCCCACGGGGACACGCTAGGCCAAATGAACCCCTTATCTAGGAGTTCCTGAAGCTGCTCCTTCAATTCTTTCAGCTCTGCTGGTGCCATACTGTACGGTGGAATAGAAATGGGCTGAGTGCCCGACACCAAGTCGATACCGAAATCAATATCTCTATCCGGTGTCATGCCCGACAGGTCTGCAGGAAATACATTGGGAAAAATCCCTCACAACTGTGACAGAATCAATACTAGGGGTCTCAGCTCCAACATCTCGCACAAAAACTAGATNTAGCTCGGGTCTTCAGACCTCAATAATCACAACACATGACCGGTACACACGGTCCACAACAACAGTATTGCACACTGGGGTAGATACATGAACAGATAAAGAAAGAAACTCCAGGGGCGTACCCAAATAATGAGCAAAATATGAGGACACATAAGAATAGGTGGAACCGGGATCGAATAATACAAAGGCATCTCTGTGGCAGACTGGACCAATTCCTATAATGACATCATCTGAAGCAATAGCATCTGTCCTTCCTGGAATAGCATAAAAATGGGCCCGGCCACTGCCTAATCGACCTTAAATCTCAATAAGCCATAACTGACTCACCAACCCGCCTCAAACTGGAACCAATATAGCACATAACCGTGCAATCGACTTAATTAATAGCAAACTCCCCAACTTGGATCAAAGCCATAGATCAAAACGCACTCAATAATTCACAACGCATATACTCTATTGATGCCGTAATACCATAATGAGATTTAAACTCACTCCTTCATAAGCTTGTGGAAACACGAATCATCTAGAATTTTATCTCTTCTGCAATTCTTGCATTCACTCACACAACAGTTAAGCCCACTCTTTAGGAGGCCCAATTTAGATTTCAATGCATATTCTTCACTTGTAAATGAGATCTTCTAATAGACAACATAAGGATCGCACCACCTTAGGACACTCCTCAGGAGATAACCCACCTGCTTCACCTCCAATTAACATTTTTGTATACCTTCCATGGTCATACACATTACACAATCACTTAATCTTTCCGAGTCTAAACTCATACCGTAACATGAAATTCATTTCACTCCAAATAGGAGACATGAAAAGATTCTCCACGCGCCCATAATTCGGGGCTACACATCTAATCACAATGAAAATAAAACACTTAAATGTTCATCTATCATCCTGCAGCCCTTCCTCATCACTTCCAATTTCATATAGATACATCTCACAATACTAACATACTCCTCACATAGCTATCCAACCATCATTCCCACTAATAGGGACAATACCATACATATAAGTTCAAAACACTTGCTCGCACAATTAGCACCTCGGTGCTCAAGCCATAGGCAAAGATCCGTCCTCAAGTCCTTCAGACTGGCCCAACATCAACTCACAGAGGTCACATCTCTCCCTTCGATCAGGTAATCACAAGCCATCAAGGCACATCTAATACTGAGCGCTCGTTCGCGCATACGAACACGTGGAAGGAATTATAAGAGTCACTTTTTCAAGCTGAATCAAAGACGCACGATAAGAATTCAAGAATATGAAGTCTTTCCTAAAGGTGCTGCAGCCTCTCGAGGATAAATACAGACGTCTCCATACCGATCCACGAGACTCTGCTAAACCTGCTCATGACTCGTGAGACCTATGTAACCTAGGCTCTGATACCAACTTGTCACGACCCAAAATCCCAACCCGGTCGTGATGGCGCCTCTCGTGAGGACAAGGCCAGCCAATCAACAAAACAGTACATCTCTTTATAATTACTTAGCAGGAATAAGTCTAAATCATGGGCAATATAATCTTAAATGCGAAATAAACGTGATAGAACAAGGAAAACCCTCCCAACTCAGCCCGAAATCGGGGTGTCACAAGTCATGAGCTACTACAGAGTTTACTAATATTTTACAAAGTCTGGAATTATCATAAATAACAAAGATAAGGGAGAAAACGGGGCTGCGGACGTCAACAGCTACCTCGTTACTCCTAGTCACCGCCTGGTCTAGAAAGAATCAGCGCTCAGGAGCGAACTCAGCTCTGCCAGTATCTGCACACATGGTGCAGGAAGTAATGTGAGTACTCTGACCCAGTGAGTAATAAAAGTAAATAATGACTGAAAACATGAAATCTCATAACGGCACAATATAGCGCTATCCCAAGAAGTAAAATCAGTTATACAGTAAAATAGTGAGTATCAGATAATTCTTCTTTTAAAACAGTAAAGACAAATAATTTCCACAGTAAGGATAAATCAAAAGCTTGCCCCTCGGGCTCAATATGTAAATCTCAGTATAGTATCAGCCCCTCGGGCTCACTCCCAACTCACCAGCACACAACATCAGCCCCTCGGGCTCACTCCCAACTCACCACACACAAGCAACGGCCTCTCGGGCCCACTCCCAACTCACCTGGGTACCCTGCGCTCACTGGGGGTGTGTACAGACTCCGGAGGGGCTCCTACAGCCCAAGCGCAATATCAATAGGCCTGAAAGCCTTCACACATCACACACGAGGCCTGAAAGCCTCCTCATATAACACTCGAGGCCTGAAAGCCTCCTCACATCACTCAACATATCCTCACGTATGGCCCTCGGCCTCAATCAGTCCAGAAAATAATCATAAGCCTCTTGGGCATCAGTAAAACAATAGTGCTCAGCTCAACAGCATTATAAATATCATTAAATCTCGAGTTGAGTATAAATGTAGCTGAGTTCACAAAATAATATAATTCAATTGGACTGAGTTCAAATAATATTTCAATTCGTGAGGAAAATAGTGATGTAAATTCACAAAAGATTTCAGATAATTGGCACGAAGCCCAAATATGGCAATAAGCCCAATCATAGTGAAAAACAATAAATCTTTATCAATTACGCGGTAAAAATATCAACTGGGATGGACCAAGTCACAATCCCCAATAGTAAATGACCCCGCGCTCGTCATACAACGCGTGTCTCATCTCAACATAGCAGTATGTTGTGCAATACGGGGTTTCAAACCCTCAGTGCATCATTTAAAATCATTACTCAGCTCAAGACGGTCCAACGTCTACTCCGCTATGCCCGTGCCTCTCGAATTTACCTCTTCGCGCGTCGAATCTGGTCAAAACCACAACGAGTACATTACAATAGGCTAAGGGAATATAACCCAATCGAAAAGACACGAAAAATATCAAAATTCACGAAATTCGCAAAACCCGAGCCCCGGGCCCACTTCTCGAAAAATTACGAAAGTCACATCACCAGATTCCTCGGAGTTCAAATGACCCCTCAAATCTTCAAATCTTATTTTCAAATCCCTAGGCCTAAATCTTCAATTTACTACTCAAAAACATGTAATCTAGTCGGATTATTCGATAATAATTCAATATTATGAAGTAAAAATAATCACAAGTGACTTACCTCAAGATTTCCCAAGATTTCTTGCTAAAAATCGCCCAAAATCCGAGCTTGGAAGTCAAAAAAATGACCAAACTCGGACTGCTGGACATTAAATCTGTCCAGAAATTTTCGGTACTGTTCACGCGGGAGTACTGTTCATGCGTGTGAGGTCACTGTTCATTGTTCACCCGCGCGGTTACTGTTCACGTGCGGGTACTGTTCACTGCTGCAGAAAATACAGCAGCTTTTAAGAAATTTGCAGCACAACCATTTTTCACTAAAATGGCTCTAACTCCATCATACGAACTCGGAATTAGACGATTCTTGTTCCTGTGAGTCACAAATAATAATACGAACACAACCCTTCAATCGAAACTCAATTCGGAGCTTGTTTGCCCAGTTCAATACCCATTTCGCTCGTTAAACAATTAAGTCACATTTCACGTCAAAAACCCAATCGCAACTTGATGAAATTAAACTAAAATTTCCAGAGCAGTCCTATAATTCATGATTTAAATTCTGGAAGTCTCGAAATCAAATTTGGATCTCTATAACTAAAAATGAACCTTTAGATCACTACATTTATGCTCAAAACGGCAAAAATCTTCCAAAAATGACCCGTTGGGCATCCGAAACACACCCGAGGCCCCCGGGACCCCGACCAATAATACCAATCAGTCCCAAAATACATTACGGACTTGATCAAGGCCTCAAATCACATCAAACAACGCTAAAATCATGAATCAACCTCCAATACAAGTTTTATGAACTTTAGAATTTCCAACTTCTATTTCCGATGCCGAAACCTATCAAATCACGTTCGATTGACTTCAAATTTTTCACACAAGTCCAAAATGACATAACGAAGCTAAAAAAATTCTCGGAATTCCATTTCGACCGTCGGATCAAAATTTCACCTATCAACCGGAAATCGCCAAAACACTAACTTCGCCAAAATGAGCTAATTTCTTCACCGGACCTCCAAAATTAATTCCGATTGCGCTCCTAGGCCTTAAATCATCCCCTGAAACTAACCGAATCATTGGAATTCAATTCCGAGCTCTCTAACTCACAAGTCAACGTCCAGTTAACTTTTCCAAACTAATTCTTCCTTAAAGAGACTAATTGTCCAATTTCATACCAAACTCGATCCGAATTGACTCAAATTCACCAAGTACACATATTGAAACATGAATAAGCATTTAACGGGGAATACGAGACGAAAATACAGGAAACGGCGGTTCGGGTCGTTACAATGAACAAAATGGATTTGTCACTAGCGAAATTGTTGAATGAGCTGCAAGCAGCAGAATCTATTATCAAACAACAAGCTCCAGTTCTGGCACTCAATGTTGAGAAAGCTTCGCTTTCTAAGTCGAAAGGCAATAAGAAAAAGAATAAGGCTCAAAAGGTTCTGGCACCTGGTGGTGCGGCTGGTATGAAAAAGCCCAAAGGCAAGTGCTATCATTGCAAGCAACCTGGGCATCACAAGAAGCAATGCCCTGCCTATCTGGCAAAGTTGAATAATCAAGGTAATTCAAATTTAAATGTTGTTGAAACTTGTTTAGCGGCTGTTTCTACCATGTTTTGGTGTGTAGATTCGGGAGCCACTAATCANCACAAGTCAACGTCCAGTTAACTTTTCCAAACTAATTCTTCCTTAAAGAGACTAATTGTCCAATTTCATACCAAACTCGATCCGAATTGACTCAAATTCACCAAGTACACATATTGAAACATGAATAAGCATTTAACGGGGAATACGAGACGAAAATACAGGAAACGGCGGTTCGGGTCGTTACAATGAACAAAATGGATTTGTCACTAGCGAAATTGTTGAATGAGCTGCAAGCAGCAGAATCTATTATCAAACAACAAGCTCCAGTTCTGGCACTCAATGTTGAGAAAGCTTCGCTTTCTAAGTCGAAAGGCAATAAGAAAAAGAATAAGGCTCAAAAGGTTCTGGCACCTGGTGGTGCGGCTGGTATGAAAAAGCCCAAAGGCAAGTGCTATCATTGCAAGCAACCTGGGCATCACAAGAAGCAATGCC